GATCTGTTGAACTATTGACATATAGTTGTTGTTCAGTCGCTCAGTCATGTCCGACTCTTTGGGATCCCATGGTCTGTAGCCCACCAACCTCCTCTGTCTGTGGGATTCTCCAGGCAATAATACTAGAGTGGGTTGCATTTCCTCCTCCAGGGGTTCTTCCAGACCTAGGAATTGAACCCATGTCTGCTGCATTGCAGGCAGGTTCTTTACCACTGAGCCACCAGGGAAGCCCATGTTTGTTTATACATGTATGTATATATGTGCCTGAGTGTCTGTATGTATATGTGTGTCTCCATGAAACCACCACAGCAGTTAAGATTTCGAACACATCTACACCACTAAAAGTTTCCTCTTGCCCATTTGCCATTCCTGCTTTTCACCTTCTCCCACCCTCCCTTATCTCTTTCCTATCACTATAGGTTAGTCGTCTTTTTTCATAATTTTATATAAATGGAATCAAATAGGGTGTACTATTTCCATCCAACTTCTTTCGTCCACATGATTGAAATTCAATACAGTTTGCTCCTTGGAACAATAGTTCTCTCCTTTCAAAGCTGAGTAGCATCCCATTGTGTGTTTACATTACAGTTTTACCCACTCTCATGTTGATGAATATTTCGACTGGTTTTGGCTGCTATGAATAAAGCTTCTGTGAACCTCATGGATAAGTCTTTGTACAGACATATGCTTTTATTTTGTTAGTAAATATTTAGGATGGTAGAAGTTTGTTTGACTTTTTTAGGAAACCACAGAATGTTTTCCAAAGGGGTTGTACATTTGTGTACATTCTCACCAGCAGAATTTGAATATTCCATCCCATCACCCCATATCTTTGCCAAGACTTGGTCAATCTTTTTTGTTTCAGACATTCTAGTAAGTGTATAGTGGCCTTTCATTGTGGTGTTAAATTGCGTTTCCCTTATGACTAATAATGTTGAACATTTTTATGCAATTATTTGATATCAATGTATCTTATTTGGTGAAGCACCTGTTCAAATATTTGTCCATTAGGTTTGAATTCCGTTTGTGCCTATTCCCCGGCCCCAACCCTTACCGATTGGTTATTTTCTCATTTTGCACATGTCCCCTGCCTGCTCTCACTACCCAAAGAGGAGAGAGAACTGGTGGACACACTGATCTGCTCTAATCCTTTGTTCTCTGGTGACCAAATCATGGTCACAGCAACCCAGGAGCTTTCCTGAACAGCTGTAAATTAATAAAATTATTTTCAGAATGAAAAAAAAAAAAATAAATAAATAAATAAAAAATAAAAAATTGAGTTTTTTATTTTCTGATTACTAAGTTCTGAGGGTTCTTTATATATTCTGGATCAAAATTCTCTATCAGATACATGATTTGCAAATATTTATCTTTGTGGAGCTTAAATGGTATCTTTCAACGAGCAGAAATTTGAAACTTTTATAAAGTCCAATTTATCAGGGTTTCTTTTAAAGGAATTATGCTATTGCTACTGTACCAAAGAAATATTTGACTTTAAGCCAAGGTCAAAGATGTTTTCTTCTTGAAGTTTAGTATTTTTAGATTTTCCATTTAGCTCTATGATCTGTTTTGAGTAAATCTTAGTATATGGGATAAGGTATGAACTGAAATTCCTTTTTGCAAATGAATATCCGATTATTCCAGTACCATTTGCTAAAAGGATTATACTTCCTCTGCTGAACTGCCTTTGCAAAAAAATTAGTTCTATATACAGGTCTATTTCTGGATCTTCTGTTTCATTTATCTATTTACTTTTCTGTCTTTATACCAATATTACACTGTCTTCATGACTGCAGACTCAGAATGTAATGAAATCCGGTAGTGTTCTTCTTGCAACTTTGTTTTTCTTTTTTTGAAGTTGTTTTGGCTCTTCTAGGTCCTTTGCATTTTCATATGAATTTTAGATCAGGTTGTCAGTTTCTACAAAACCCGCTGGGATTTTGATTGGGATTGAAATGAATCTATGGATGGATTTAGGGAGAAATAACATCTTAACAGGATTGAGTCTTTCGGTTCATGAACATTCAACTCTCTCCACTGATTTTGGTCTTCTTTAAATTCTCTCATCAATATTTTGTAGCTCTCTGCATCTATGAGTATTACATATTTTTTCTCAGATATATCCATAAGCATTTCATATTTTTGATGCTACTGTAAATGATATTTTTATTTCAGTCTCAGCTTTTTGTTGTGGACATACAGAGGCACAATTGATTTTTGTATAGAGAGTGTGTATATTTTAAACGTGTCAAAGTCACATGTTAGTTCTGGCAGCTTTCTGTGAATTTCATCAGATTTCCTACTAGACACTCAAGTTGTCTGGGAAGAAAGATAATTTTACTTCCTGCTTTCCAATCTGGGTGCTTTTTATTCCTTTTCTTGTCTCATCAAACTGGCGAGATGCTAACAACAGTGTTGGATAGAAGTGGCGAGACAACATTCTTGTCTTCTTCTTGATCATAGGGCAAAAGTATTTGGTTTTACACCAAGTATAATTTTAACTGTCACTTTTTTGGGTAGATACCCATTTTTAGATTGGGAAAACTCCTTCCTATTTCTAGTTTGCTGAGGGTTTTTGCCAGAAGTTGGTGTTAGATTTTGTCAAATGCTTGTTCTGCATCTATTCAGATGATCATAAAGTTTATCTTTTTAAATTTGTTACTGTGGTGAATTATGGTGTTAATTTTCAAATATTAAGCCATTCGTGTACTCCTGGGATAAAACCCCACTTAATCAGGGTGTATCATTCTTTTTATACAGTGTTGGGTTCAATCTGCTGTAATTTCCTAAAGAATTCTTGCATCTATGTTCATGAAGGTTTTTGGCCTGTTTTTCTTTTCTTTTGAAGTTTTTGTCTAGTTTGAGTGTCAGGGTAATCCTGGCCTCATAGAATATGTTAAAAAGTATTTCCTATCCTTCAATCTTCCAGAAGAGTTTGAATAGAATTGCTATTAGTTTTTCTTTTAGGATTTGGTAGAATTCATCAGTGTAGTCACCTGGGCCTAGAGTTTTCCTATAGGAAGATTTTAAACTGTCAGTTCAATTTTTAAAATAGATAAAGCATTATTCGTGTTACTTATTTTTCCTCGAGCGAGCTTTGATATTTAGTGTGATATTTCAAGGAATTTCTCCATCTCATCTAAATTGATAAAATTATTGACATAAACTTGCTCATAATTTCCCCTTATTATCCTTTTAATGTCTGTAGAATGTGTAATGGTGTCATCTCAAATTCCTTATACTGTGATATGTGTCTTCTCTCTTTATTGATCTTCTTAAAGTACCAGCTTTTAGTTTCATTGATTTTCTCCATTGTTTTTCTCTATTGTTTTCTATTTCATTGATTTCTGCTCTGATTGTTATTTCTTCTCCTTATTTTGGGTTTAATTTGCTCTTCTTTTTCTAGTTTCTAGTGGTAGAAGATGAGGCTGTTGGACCAAGACCTTTCTTCTTTGCTTTTATATGTGTTTAGTGCTATAAATCTTTCCCTGAGTACTGCTTTAGCACTATCCTAAAAAATTTGATATATTGAGCTTTTAGTTTCATTTAGTTCAAAGTGCTTCTTAAATTCCCTTTACGTTTCTCCTTTGAGCCATGGATTTCAGAAGAACATTATATAGTTTCCACGTATTTGGTGGTTTTCCAGAGGTCTTTCTGTTGTTGTTCTAATGTAATTCCAGTGAGGTCAGAGTACATAGTGTGTTTGACTGAATCCTTTTAAATTGGTTGAATCTTGTTTTGTGGACCAGAATATGGACTGCCTTGGTAAATGTTCCATGTTACACTTAAAAGTGTATTCAGATTTTGTTGGGTAGATTTTTCTATTAATGTCAATTAGGTCAAAATATTTGACAGTTTGGTTCAAGTCTTCTGTATCCTTTCTGCTTTCAGTCTCCTTGTTTTATTAATTGTTGATAGAGGGATATTGAAATCTGAATGTGTTGTGGATTTGTCTAGTTCTTCTTGAATTTCTATCAGTTCTTATTCTGTGCATTTGCTTTTGGCATCTGTTATTACGTATACTTGTGTTTAGATTACTTTATCCTGTTGATGAATCTTGCCTGGAGAATTCCATGGACAGAGAAGCCTGGCGGGCTATTGTCCCTGGGTTCGCAAAGAGTCAGACATGACCGAGCAACTGAACACACACATAACTGGGTTTCCAGGCTCCACCTCGGTTTCTTCTTCCTGTGCCATGAACTGAAAATTCTTTCAGCAATGCGTGCATGCTACGTTGCTTCAGTCATGTCCGACTCTGAAACCCATGGATGATAGCCTGCCAGGCTCCTCTGTCCATGGGATTCTCCAGGCAAGATTCATCAATAGAATAAAGTAATCTAACACAAATGTACCTAATAACAGATGCCGAAAGCATAGAACAAAAACTGATAGAACTGATAGGATTCTCCAGGCAAGAATACTGGAGTGGGTTGTCATGCTCTCCTTTAGGGGATCTTTCTGGCCTGGGGATCGAACCCAGGTATCCTGCATTGCAGGCAGATTCTTTACCATCTGAGTTACCAGGGAAGCCCCAACCCCAATTATCTTCCTCTACTGCCGGTCACCAGGGCTAAAATCCCTCCATTCGAGGGTGGGGAAATGTGTAGAGGGATCTTGGTGTGGTGCCTGCCTCCAAAGGAACACTCTAGAAGTGATAACTGATCTATCAGGACCCACATTTTTGTTATTGATTTAAATCTTTTTGTTGATTCAATTCTCTAACCGCCTCCTTTCTATCTGGAAACCTCTATCTCCCGCCCCCGCCCCGCCATCTTCTCTGCTTTCTTTGATGGGCCAGCTGATCTGTTAGTGATCATGGCTCATTTCCCTTGTTCTGAGCTAATGCTAATGAAGAGAGAGACAGGCACACAGGTAAGTGGTTCTCTGCTTCCGTCTCACCAACCCCCACATCCTTCTCCAGCCTCTTTCCATCCTCACCACGTCTCTCTCTCATCTTCCATCTTCAGGTTCTGAAGAGACGAAGAAATTGACAAATCCGGATGGCCACCATTGATGGGAGAATGGTCTCCAGACGCCGGGGATCTGGCCGGGGGCGCCAGGGGAGCGAGGCCTGCCTGGGGTCCCTGGATGACCCGCCGTGCGAGGGGACTCAGCTGGCCATGCTGAGGAGGGCACAGGAATTCTTTCAGACCTGTGACGCCGAGGGCAAGGGCTTCATCGCCAGGGCAGATATGCAGGTAAGGGGGCCCTGGGCTGGGCCTGCCCACCTGGAATGCCAAGGGCCTGGGTCTCCCTCTCTTGGGTTGGGACCTGTCCCTTGGGAGGCGACGTCTTTAACAGAAAGTGAAAGTGTTAGTCGCTTAGTCGTGTCTGACTCTTTGAGACCCCTTGGACTGTAGCCCGCCAGGCTTCTCTGTCCATGGAATTTCCCAGGCAAGAATACTGAAGTGGGCTGCCATTTCCTTCTCCAGGGGATCTTCCCAACCCAGGCATCAATCTCAGGTCTGCTGTATTGCAGGCAGACTCTTTACTTTCTGAGCCACCAGGGAAGTCCTTCAACAGAAAAGATGCCGTTAGCTCTGTCCTAGAAGGAGGCAGCACCCCAGACTCTCCTGGGAGCCGGATCTCCTGGGTACTTTCTTTGGTCTATACTTGCTCTCTGACTTGGGGGCTGTTTTCTGTGACTCAGTAACTCTCTAGGAGTGTGGAAAATAGTGATTGCACTTTAAGTTTCTTGAAGACATGGAGAAGAACCTTCTGGAACACAGGTGGAAAGGCACTGACTTGTGGCCTTGCAGGTCTCAGCTGTGCTCAAGCCACTCCCACGAGGTGCTGCGACTCTCAGCTCTGTGGCCGGCTTACTGAACCAAACTCAGATCCCCTGTCCCCTGCGCCATAAAGCTATCTTTCGATGCTGGGTTGTGGAGAAGAAAATGTAGTGTTTATTACAGGGTCAGGCACAGAGCCCAGGACCTTCAAGCTCCCTGAGGGGTTTCAGCAAAGCATCTTTAAAGGCCAGGTTTGGGAGGGAGAGTTCCAGGGTCTGTGATCAGTTCAGCACAATTCCTGATTGGCCGATGGTGAGAGACCAGAGCGCTGTCACAGGAGTTCAGGTGATCAATCCTAGGGCTACAGGAGGCCCGGGGGCTACGTGCTCATGGTCATCAGGTGTATAACATCTTCCATTTGGTGGTGGTTTTTATCATCTGTGCTTCAGATGTGCTTCAGATACTATTATCCAGGTCCTTCGTGCTAAGTCGCTTCAGTCGTGTCTGACTCTTTGCAACCCCATGGTCTGTAGCCAGCCAGGCTCCTCTGTCCACGGGATTTTCCAGGCAAGAATACTGGAGTGGGTAGCCTTCAGAGAGGGTCTAAAACAGAGGATGCTGGGGAGGGGTCTGTCCGGGGAAGGCCCCAGAGGGTCCTGCTTGCTTACATCAGCACCAGCAACCACAGACAGTGTGGCCCGCCCCCAAGCAACTCTACTTACCAATACCGAAATGAACATTGTATGTCATTTTCATGTGTCACTAAATATTATCCTTTTGATGTTGTTTTCAACCGTCAAAAAATGTAAAAGTCATTCTTAGCTCACTGGCCATAGGGAAACAGGTGCTGGGTCCCATTTACAGGGCAGGGGTGTGGCTTGCCCACCCCTGGTCTGGTGCCTTCCTGCCGCTAGTGTAAAAGTTCTTCCGCGCGTCTTCCTGCAGTCTCTCATGCTGCAGTCAGGGCCTCACCCGGACAAGACTAGAGGAAGCATAGGTTCTGCGGGAGCTCTGACAGCATCTTCCCTGCCTCCACCAGCCCTCACTTACCCATCAAGTGCGTTTTGGTCGGGGGACATACAGTGGTGTTAAGGCGACGAAGACCCAAGATGGGCAGGTTTTCTTTTTTTTTCCCAGTCTTTTTATTTTGTATTGGGGTACAGCCGATGCTGTGGTAGGCTGCTCCCCCAGTGCGCCCGTTCTTCTTTCTCCTGTGTAACGACAGGAAGTCCACTTGCGGTGGGTGAGACGGGCTCCAGCCGTCTGACAGGTGCTCAGAGCAGCGGTGGGCAGCCCGCCGGCCCAGCAGGGCAGGACCACAGGTGGAAAGGAGCCAATCTCAGGGACGGCCAGCTGCCCTGAGCTCAGGCTCCAGGGGCAGACATTCTGCTACTGGACAGTGGGCGGAGGACCCTGATCTGCATGGATGCACAGGGTTTCGGCAGGGATGTGAGGGTCTTCAGCCCTGCCCGTGTCCCCCCCACACCTCACACCCTCCTCCACAAGGAGCCCTGCTGTGTGTCCCTTGGGGATCATTCCTGAGAGAGCTGGGGTGAAGACTGCTTTGCAGGGAGGGGTCCCTTAGAGAAGCAGTGTCATGGGCTGGAGGGTCCTGAGTGAGAGGCTGAGGGACACTGGGGGGCCAGGCTGAAGGAGGGGGTGAAAGGACCCCTCCAGCCGGGAGAGGGAGCTGGAACCGGATGGGCAGTCTGCAGCCTCATAAACCCTGTTTCCCCAATTTTTGAGAGAAGTATGTGGGCTTCTCAGGTGGCACTAGTAGTAAAGAAACTGCCTGCCAACGTAGGAGTCACAGGCGATGCGGGTGCAGTCCCTGGGTCGGGAAGATCCCCTGGAGGAGGGCATAGCATCCCACTCCAGTGTTCTTGTCTGGAGAATCCCAGGGACAGAGGAGCCTGGTGGGCTGCAGTCCATGGGGTTGCACAGAGTCGGGTACAGCTGAGAGACTGAGCACCCGAGAGCAGTGTGATGATTGTCACCAATGCCAACTGCACACCTCCCAACACTGCCTGCAGTTCCTGGGTTAGCCAAACTATAAAGAACCATCCAGGAGCTGGCCAACCAGCCAAACACGGCCACTCCCCGTTTCTGTGAGCGCCGTGTTATTGGACCCCAGCTGGCTCTTTGCATACCCTCCACAGCAGATTCCAGGCTACAGCTCAGACTTCTAGAAGCCGTCACAGAGGCCCACAAAGCCTCAAAGAGGCACCATCTGACTCTTACAGGAGAAGCTAGATGACTCCTCAATTAGGTTAGCAAGGAGAGACTTAAAGAATTTTGTGGAAAATTGACCAGTTTTAATCCTGAATCTGCAGCTTACTGGCAGTGTGCATTTGTGTGAGTCTCTTAACCCCTGTAAGCTGTAGTTGCTCATGTGTGAATTATTTATAACTACCCCCCGGAGCTAGAAGAGAGTCAGACACCCGTGTTCATGCAGAGCACTTAGCCCTGAACTGGGACCTGAAATCTCCCCATAAATGCTCACTGTGCGTGTGTGTGTTGGTGGTGGTGGGAAATTCAATCCCTAGTGTCCTCCACATTGTGATTCTTTAAAATTGTGTGTGCCTGTGTGTGCCTGCTAAGTCACTTGAGTCATGTCTGACTCTGTGTGACCCCATGGACTGTAGCCCACCAGGCTCCTCTGTCCATGGGATTCTTCAGGCAAGAGTACTGGAGTGGGTTGCCGTGTCCTCCTCCAGAGGAGCTTCCTGACCCAGGGATCGAACCCTTGTTTCTTACACTCCTGCACTGGCCAGTGGGTTCTTTACCACTAGCACCAACTGGTAAATCCACTAAAAATGTCTCAACCATTTCTAAGTGACTATTTCAGTGCTTTTCAATACATTCATGTTGTTGTGTAATCATCACTCCCACTCAGCTCCAGATCTCTTCTTATTTTGCAAAACAGAAGCTCTGTCCCCATTAAAGCCTACCTCCTCATTCCCTTTCCCCAGCCCCCAGGACTATCCTGCCTTATGTCTCTATCGATAAGCTCCTGTGGGGACTTCATGTAAGTGGAATCATATAGTGTCCATCCTGGCGTGACCGCTGTATTTCACTGAGCAGAATGTCTTCAAGATGCCACGTGGCAGCACTTATCAGAATTTCCTCTCTTTTCAGGGCTGTATAAGATTCCATTGCACCTATTTATCACATTTTTTTTATCTATTTGACTGTCATTGGGCACTTCTGTTGCTTCATACCCTTGCATGTGAACCATGCCGCTGTGATCAGGGATGTATGGATACACTTGGCGGCCCTGCTTTCAGTTCTTTGGGGGTGTATACCCCAAAGTGGGATTGCTGGATCACAGGCGATTCTATGTGTAATGTTTGGAGGAACCCCCACCCTGTTTCCACAGAGGCTGCACAGTCACACTGGGAGGTCAGCTGAGTGTCATCTGTTCTGCCTCTGAGGTCAAGAAGGGACATTTCTGCTGGAGAGTGTCCCTTTTGGTCATCTCCAACAGGCACTGATCTCGCTTGTGTCCAATCTGTGGGAGCAAACATGATTTTGCTTCTTAGAAGACTTTTGGCCATGTCTAGGGATATTCTTTTTTTTTTCTTTTAAATTTTTTTATGTAGACCATTTAAAAAATTTTTAATAAATTAGTTTATTTATGTTTGGTTGTGCTGGGTCTTTGTTGCTGAGCGGGCTTTTCTCCAGTTGTGGCGAGCGGGGGCTCCTCTCTAGTTCCGGTGTGCGGGCTTCTCATTGCTGTGACTTCTCTCGTGGCCATTCGCCAGTCCCAGGGTGCGCGGGCTCCAGGAGTTGCAGTGCTCAGGCTCAGCGGTGGCAGCTCCCAGGCTCTAGTGCGCAGTCTCAACAGTTGTGGCACAGAGGCTTAGCTGCTTCTGAGCCTGTGAATCATCTAGGATCAGGGATCAAACCCACGTCTCCTGCATTGGCAGGTGGATTCTTTACCACTGGGCCACCAAGGAAGCCCTAGGGACATTCTTGACCGGAGTGACTAGAGAGAGAGATGCTGCTGGCATCTACAAAGCATTGTCCAGGGATACTGCTGAGTGTCCTATAAGATCCAGAGCTGGTCTCTCCCCAACAAAGAATCCTCCGTCCTGAGATGTCAGTAGTGCAGAGGTTGAGACACCTGTCTAAACCCAGTTGTCAGCCCGGACCAAGCACCTCAAAGCACCAGGCAGAATCAAGGTAGATCCCACCTTCAGACCTCACAGTCCTGTTCTGAAGACGTTCGGTGTGGCTGGGCTCAACCACAGGGATGAGCGCTTTTGGCGCTGGGGCAGGGGTCTGAACAGGAGACTGTGGGAGAAGAGGGAGACGTCAATCTGGCTGTAAAGGTGGATCCCTTGTGGTTTTATCCTTGTTTATGAAAGTAAAACCAACTTCACCATTTTAAGAAGCACATTAGAGACAGGAGGAAAATAAAGGTACAATTTCCACCTTTCCCTCCAAGTGCCACCCTCTGGGGAAAGACCAGTGTGAAGGGCTGGTATGTGTCCTTCAGAAACTTTTTTTTTTTTTCTGTGCACATACACTCAGTTTTATTCTTTTAAAATAAGATCACAGAACAAGTTCATTTTGTTGGTGTTTTCTTTAGTGAGTGTTTCCCTTAGATGTGTTTGAAGCTGTGCAAACCTTTGGTTTATGATGCACAAGACATGTTAGGGACTGGTGACCTGGAAGATAGAGGGTCTCTCCTGTTGGGGTGCAGCAGGAGACAGCATCTGTCCCTGGCTCTGGGAGCCTGCCCCCTCAGCACAGCTATTCTAGGGCCTAGACTCCTGTTCTAGGGCCCAGTTTATAAGACCTTGCTGAGCATTCCCAGGGGGGCTGGTAGGGATCTGGAGTGGGTGGGGTGTCAACCAGAGCTCCGTGAATAGGAGTTCAGAAACGCCTGAGATCACTTGTGGTCACTCGTTTATTGATTCGCTCATTCAATAAGTGAACAAGTTGCATACCCCTGGGTTGTCAGCATTGGGCCAGATCCTGGGGGTACAGTAGTGAGTAAACATGAGTGGGGCCCCTCTTCCCAGAGCTTCCAGGCTGGAGGAGCAGACATTTATCTACTAATTGCATCCATCAGGGTGTGAAGTACAAAGTGAGGTGAAACTTGTGAATGAGTGCAATGTGTTTTGGGGAGTCTGGGTCTCTCCTAAGCTGGGGGCTGCCATGCCTTCCTGGGGAAATGATGCCAAGAGGCAGGGATTGAGGGTTAACTGGAAGGTGGTGGGGGGAGGCCAGGGTTTGGGGGAGCGTGGACTTGTGAAGAGCTGGTCGGGCTGTGGGCTCAGTGAGGAGGGTGGCCCTGCCTCCTCACCGTCTCCTTCCATCCTCTGCCTGCCCGTCCAGGTGAAGCTGAAGGGAGACAGGTCCCACCCATGAAGCAGAATTATGGAGGGCTGGTATGGGCGGTGCTGGCTGGGCAGATTTTGGTGGCAGGGGTGGGATAGAAATGAGACAAGGGAATTAAGGAAGGGGTGCCCAGAGAGCCACTAGCCCACAGCAGAGGCCCTGAAGGAGAAATCACTTTTTTATCCTAGGCTGGCCTCCACTGTGACTTCAGACAAATCTCTGAGCTTTGCGGGTTATCAACGCCATGGAGTGAATCATTGCATCCCTCTCCATTCGGCTTGGCTCCCTTAGTTAAAAATGCAGACAGCACTAGGTACCCGGGGGACAAGAGCAGAATAATTTGGTTTTACACAGCTCTGCAGGCCCAGAGACGAAAGATAAATAAGAGCTAATTATGGTTATTAAGACTAAAGGATTTTGCAAGTAGGGCTAATGAAGAGAGGTGAAGAGATCTGGTGTATGCAGTTTGCCGAGGAGGCTGGAGAAGCCCTTGGTGTCGATCTGCCGGGATGTGAAGACTGAGGATGACTTGGAAGGTGTAAGATTGTCGTCCTCCTGCCCCTCAGTTTCAGTGACAGCAGGAGGAGGAAGCTGGACTGAGACGGAGACAAGGAGTGGGATTCTGTCATGGGAAGGACTTGTGCTCAGAAGTGTTGAATTCAGGAGTGGTGTCAGAGATGGGGTGTAACCTAGCTTTTCCTGGGTGATGCTAGCAAGAGCAAGGGTGCTCACCTGTCGGCGGTTAGAGGCAAGTTGAAGGTCCCACTGAGTCTGAAATTCCTTCCAGTCCATTTCTGGGTCCAGCACAGAGGCCACATTTTATTATTTTTAAAAATTTTATTTATTTATTTTTGGCTACACTGGGTCTTTGTTGCTGTGAGCAGGCTTCCTCTAGTTGTGGCAAGCAGGGGCTACTCTCTAGTTGCAGGGTGTGGCCTTCTCATTTTGCTGGCCTCTCTTGTTGCAGAGCTTGGGCTCTAGGGCACATGGACTTCAGTAGTTCCAATTCCTGGGCTCTAGAGCGAGGGTTCGGTAGTTGTGGTTCACGGGCTTTCTTGCTCCACAGCATGTGAGATCCTCCCGGACCAGGGATCGAACCCGTGTCCCCTGCATAAGCAGATGGATTTTTAACCAATGGACCCCCAGGGATGCCCAAGACCACACTTTAGATATCACATTCAGGCTAAGGGTGGGAGAGAGGCAGATTATCACAAGGAAAGGACTGGAATCTTGGTTTTCACCCTGCCTCCAATGGGATGCCTTTAGCTTCAAAAGGAGCTAGTGGACTTCCCGCTTGCCAGATTGACCCCCCTCCTCGCCCCGTGTTCTCTGCCTTTGGCTTTGGGACAGCTGGTTTATGGATTGTTGATAAGCTAGAGATTCTGCTCTTTGCTCAGCAGATGCACTTCCAGAACCTGTACACACAGTCTCACTCCCCTTCCTTAAAAAAAAAAACCCATTCATATTTAATTCAATGATTCTAAACGGCTCCCACACCATCCTGTCTCCCCACGCTGTGATCCATCACCATCTTCCTTAATGCATGTACCTGCCAAATTCTTTATGGCTTACCAGCTAGCAGATTGCCAGAGGATCAAGCTGAGTGTCTCGCAAGTTACGTCATGGGCGCTCACACCTGCTGGCTCTTTCTGACTGTTCAGATGGGCGTGTGCCTTCCCTCTTGCGACTGCCTTGTCTTCAGCTGTCTGTCACATCCACACTGAGAAATTTGTGCAGCCGTCCCCAGGGGAACGGGGAGGAAGAGAGACGGACAGCTGGGTTCTAATGAACTCCCTTGGGGAGTCACCACTGGGAAGCTTTGATTATTAGGGTACAAGAGGGTGCTTGCTTCAGGGGTGCAAATTAACCCTGGCCTGGGGCCACTGCACGTCAGGCAGAGGCCAGGGGGAAGCTCAGCTTTGTTCTTCATCTGTCCGTGTCTGCCCTTCCCCCCCTGGGTGATTGGGGCCAGGACCCAGGTCCAGTGACCTCGCACCCAACCTGGGCCAGTTCCTCTTTACAACACAAATACTCTTGTCCAGACCTTAAGCCAGTGGCAGTTCATGTCTTTTCAGGAGTAGTTGAGAGCCCACCTGGGAAATCCTATATACATTAAGTTATATATAAATATAGTAAGAAATATACACATATTTACTTATAAATCACTCAGCAAGTTTCCTAGCAGATGAGCAGGTACCCAAGAGATGGTGGATTCCTAATATTCAGAGGAGGAGAAGGATGGTAAACTTCAGAATCTGACTTCTGGCTTTTCTCAGCTGGGGATGGAAGGTGCTCCCTCCCCCAGGCAGCCCTCTGTGATGAGCAGTGTTAACCATAGCAGTCTGCATTGTTTTCAGAGACTCCATAAGGAGCTGCCCCTCAGCTTAGAGGACCTGGAGGATGTGTTTGATGCCCTGGATGCTGATGGCAATGGCTTTCTGACCCCAGAGGAGTTCACCACTGGATTTAGTAAGTTCTGATGGGTGCTGGGGCCCCAGGGTATGGGTCAGCCTAAAGCCATAAATGGGTTTCCCAGGTGGTGCTAGTGGCAAAGAAACCACCTGCCAATGCAGGAGATGTAAGACACGCGGGTTGGATCCTTGGGTCAGGAAGATCCTCTGGAGGAGGAAATGGCAACCCACTGCAGTATTTTTGCCTGGAGAATCCCATGGACAGAGGAGCCTGGCAGGGTAGAGTCTGGGGGGTTGCAGAGACTTGGACACTGAGCGTCTGAGCACAGAGCCCTATAAGGAGCCGTTCTGCTCCGTCATCCCCGAGGCCCCGCGTTGTACACGCTTTCCTGCCTCTCGAAGTTTCCAGACTGTGGGTCATTTGTTCTCTTTTCATGTGCCCACCATCCCTGCTCACGGCACTGCCCCCTTGGTGCAAAGAGTGAGCAGAGAAGCTCTGGCGGGAGGCTCAGCATAAGAGGTGAGCTGAGATGGGGTTTCCAGTCTGTCTGGGACCTCAGAGTGGGAGGCTTACACGGCTCATTGCAACCTGGCTGGCTAAGTCTTCCAGGTTGAGGGGCACCAGCTTTCAGAGGAATTTGTAAAGGGTTTGAATAAACCAGTTGTTCTCAAAGTGACCAGGAGGGAAAGAACCGAGATCAGTGAATGATATTTAAAAAAAACAAACAAACAGATACACCATCAGATCTGATACTCATCAGATATTGATTAGAGCAAATACAGGTCAGATAAATCACCACACATCTGCCTCCTTCCAGGAAGCTTATATTTGCTTATAAGCCTTTGATGCCTTTCCTGACCTTCAGAAATTGATAACTGACTTGTAATGTGAAGCACATTGATGCTGGCGGCCAGGAGGACTAGGTGGTAACATGAAGCATAGGGATTTGGGCTGCTGGAGTGTGATGGGGGTAAGGTCTTATTTAGAGAAGGAATCTGTGAAGAGATGATCTGAAGCCAGCCTTTAAAGTTTTGAGAACTACAAAATGCCATAGTACCTGCCATGCACTCTGCCTTTCCCAGGTTCTAGCGCCTCTGGCAGAATCTTATCCAAGTAGGAAAGACACAGAATCCAGAGCATGTCATCCAAAGATCTTTGCTATGAAAGTCTGATCTCCCTTTTCTGTCTCTCTGCTGAACCTCAAGTGATTCCTGGCTGCTGAGAAGGTGAAGATCTTCCTTGGTGAGCATTGCCTAATTCAGACCCTTGTGCCCATGCGTCCCCCAGGTCACTTCTTCTTCAGCCAGAATAACCCAAGTCAGGAAGATGGAAGTGAGCAGCCAGCCCAGCTCCAGGAGGAGAAGGTGTATCAGAGCAGAGGGGACGAGGACCTGGGCGACATGGACGAAGATGAAGAAGCCCAGTTCCAGACCCTCATGGACAGACTTGGAGCCCAAAAGGTTTTGGAAGAGTAAGTGGTGACTACGACCTGGGGGACGGGCCCCAGCCCAGGGACAACCTCTCCATCTGCCACCTTCAGGCTTAATGCTCATGAAGCCCTCAGCCAGGCCCAGGGTCTCTGCTTCCAGCTAGACCACTGACTCCGTGGAGCCTGCCCTTGGCCATGGCTTGGCTGGGTACCAGGATTTAGGGCTCTGACCCTGCCTTTTGCATTATTTTCATGGGAAACACCCTGATCCCCTGATCTCTCACTCTCCGTTTTCCATAATCAGCACGGTCCTTGGCTCAGTCTCCTTCACTTTAGGGGTGCTCACCCACCGGAGGGTAGTGCCAGGCCTTGAGGGTTTTCAGTGAGCCGCACCTGAGGCTTCCTGTCAGTGCCTGCTCACCTGCATCTCCACCTCTGCTGGGTCCCTGGGTCTGCAGTGCATCCCTTGTGCTCCTGCCAAAAGCAGCTTATGTGGACGGGACTGCATGTTGGATCCCTGAGCCGAACTAAACCTGTTCTGGAAGCTAAGGTGGGAGGTGGACCTATTTTCACCAGCTCGTCACTTGGTTGATCAGTAACTCAGCTGAAAATTTTAGATTGGTTGCCGCTTCAAACCAAACATAAAACTCCCATTTCTTTTTCCTTTTTGGCAAAAAGCATTTTGTAAGAAAGAGACACATAAATGTAAGTGCAGGCATTTTCAGTGAAATGATATCGAGGGATGTCATAACTGGTGGAAACTAGACAGAGGCCTGAGAAATGTGGAATAACTTTTGCCCCCATTTTCATCATCACCTTTTGTCTTTTTGTGCTGGGGTCTCTGGGTCCTGGGTTTGGAGTGAGTTTCATGAGGGGCGGGAGTGTCCTGATGATTGGAGCTGCTATTTCTGGAGCTTGGAAAGAGGAAGATTATGGAGGAAAAGGATAAAGAGGAAGAAGAGAGTGGTCTTCACACAACGTGTGGGCCAAGACAGCATGTGTAACTCAAAGCATCTTCTAGGTTGTGGCAGAGTTGAGACAGGCTGGCAAGAGCGTGGGCAGGCCAGAGGGGACATCACACCCTGCTTCTCCAGGGACAAGAGGCCAGAGCCCAGTAACCATGCCCGTAACCTTGTGAAGCCTTGTCCTGGAGGAGGGGGCAGGAAAGGGCCATGTGGGGGCCAAGGGACTGTCATGAAAGCCAGGTGCGTCTCTGTCCACCCATCACTTCCGGGCCGGCCACCACACGGAGGCTGCCCGGAGGACCTCTGTCAAGGGCCCAGGGCAGGGCTGAGCCCACATGATGACTCCTGCAGAAGAGAAGGTTCCAGGGAAGATTCGAAGAGCAGACAAAACCAACACACAGAATAGGGGGCCTGTGGACTTCCCTGGTGGCCCAATGAACAGGCCACCTGCCAATGCAGGAGAGGTGGGTTCGACCCTGGTCTGGGAAGATCCACATGCCTTGGAACAACTAAGCCCGTGCTCTGGAACCAGTGAGCCAGAACGACTGAGTCTGCATGCTGCAACTACAGACGCCTCTGTGCTGTCAGGGTCCAAGAGCCGCAACTACTGAAACCAGCACGCCCTAGAGCCCCCAGGCCGCAACTACTGAGCCCGTGTGCTGCAGCTACCAAGCCTGTGTGTCCCAGGGCCCGTGCTCCGCAACAGGAGAAGCCTCTGCAATGAGAAGACCGCGCATCACAACGCAGAGTAACCCCTGCTTTCCAAAACTAGAGAAAGCCTGTGTGCAACAATGAAGACCCAGCACAGCCGAGAAGAAATAAATAAAATTATATATATATTTATATAATTAAACAAATAAAATTATATATATATATATATATATATATATATATATATATATATATAAGATGATGTCTTGGCATTGCAGTTCTCATTTAAGTTAAACACTGTAATGTGAGGGGGACCGTCCAGACTGCAGGACCTCAGATGAGGAAGCAGAAGAGACTGGGAAAATTTCAGAGGTCTTTAAAGATCTCACCAATCAAGATGACATCTTGTTGGTTTGTGTGTTGTCCTGGAAGCAGGGAGATGGATGGACTGACCACCCAGAACCCCTTCTCACCCCCTACCCCTACATTCTTCCAAGAGAGTGGCCCTGGCCTGGTCTAGACGTGGTAGGCAGAACACCTGGACTCCCAACTTTTCTCAGTGCTCCAGTTGGTTGAGTGATCGGGCAGCTGATCAGCCTTGGCTTATCTTTCATCCAGGGTTCAGAGATTTGTTCGTTTTCCAGAAATTTTGGGATTCCCAGGTGACACAGTGGTAAAGAATCTGCCTGCCAATTCAGAAGAAGCAAGAGACATGGGATTGATGTCTGAGTTGGGATGATCCTCTGGAGAAGGAAATGGCAACCCATTCCAGTACTCTTGCCTGGAAAATCCCATGGACAGAGGAGCTTTGGAGGCTACAGCTCATAAGGGCACAAAGAGTTGGACATGACTGAGTGACTGCCCAATGTGCAAAAAAAAAAAAAAAAAGATGTGACCACAACTAGGTGGTTCAAAGAGCTTTGAAGAGCATCACATAGGTCTGCTAATTTCAGAGGAGGCTCAACCCCAAATGGCTCACTGCCAGGTTCCAATAGGAATCTGAGGGATACAAACAGACAGACCTTAGCCAGTGAGGTGCATCTTGAGTTTATAATGCATTTACTTCATGAGGGGCAACCTGCCACAGTGATGGAAGGTCACTGTGGTATCACTCTGAGACCCTTCATCTCAGAATCCTCTGTGCCACCTCCATTGTCTCTACAGTACGATAGAGCAGATGACCACATATTCTGTGGCGGGGCTGGGGGGGTGCGGAATGGAACTCATTCTGGAAAGCAGGGAGGCTCCTTACCTCCCCTTCTGTCATTTCCAAAATCTCTCATGTCATCCAATTCAGTGCTACACTTTCAACAAGTAATAGATACTTGTTGGATGGGTGGGTGGATGGGTGGATGCATGGATGGATGGATGGGTGGATGCATAGATGGATGAGTGGGTGGGTGGGTGGATGTTTGGATGGATGGGTGGATGATTGGTCTTGATGACTTGGTGGATGTTTGGATAGAATGGAGCAAGGAAAGGAAAGAGAGAGGGAGAGACAATTGGATAGATGATCAGATAACTGACCAGAGCCAGCCTCACTTCTTGGTGAGCCTCCTCTCTGCTTGGTGCAGAGAGTAATATCTACGCCCCAGGCACATTGCTAACATGGCACCATCAAGTATTACTTTTGAATAAAATTTCTCAGATACCGTGCTTGTTATACAAGCAGAAGGGATTTTATTCTTTATCCTGAGGGCCCCTGGTTGTAGCTACCTTCGCATCATAGTGGCTTTGGAATTTAATGGACTGCAAATCAGATTGCTCTCTGGCTGTATGTTTGATCACTGGCTTTAGACTGTTGAATCTCTCCAGAGGGAGAGTGGGGACTGTGGTGTGCCGCCTGCCAGCCCTCCCCACCCTGATCACCGTGACCCTGTATGTCTCTGCTAAGCACACGCACATGAGCCCAGGGTGCTGGCCGGGGCGGGGGTGACTTGGCTCTGGGCTCATCACTCTGTGTCTGTCTCTCTGCCTGCTCTGTCCTCCTCACTCCACCGTCTCCCGGAGTGCACACTTGCATCTCTCAGACTTGCTCCTTCCCTTCCTCTCGCCTGTCAGTCATGCTGCTGCCTCCGGGCCCCAGTGGGGCGCAGTGTCTCCCCTTCCATTCCCTGCAGTGACAGTCATTTTCTGCCACCCATCAGCCAGCATGTCTTTCCCTCTCAGCCATGAGGACCATCCTTCCTGGGGCGACAGGCCTTCTCCTTCAGCTCCACGACGCCTGTCCTCACAAGCACTGGGCTCCTGTCCGCCCCGCTTCCCTGGGTGTGGCCAGTAGGAGGCCAGCACAGGACCAGACAGGCCTGAGCTTACCTCCTGGCTCCATCGCTTCGCAGCTGAGTGACCTGAGATGTCTCATTCACCCCTCTCTGTCCGTCTCCTCGCCCGTAAGCGGGGGTGTTAGCAGCACCTGCCTCACAGGTGACTGGAGGACCAAATGAACAAACTCTCATAAAACAGCCAGCATGCAGCAAGCACTCAATAAACGCCAGCCCCTGACGTCACTGTTCCGACCACAGTGATGATGCTCTGGCTGCCCCTGTCGGCCCCGGGGCCTCGGGGTGTCCCGGGAAGCCTCGTGTCCACACTTCCACCTCAATGCTCCTTTTTCTCTCGCAGTGAAGCTGACGTCAAGCAGCTCTGGCTGCGGCTCAAGAAGGATGAGCCTCACTTACTGTCCAACTTCGAGGATTTCCTGACCAGAATCTTCTCACAGCTCCTAGAAGCCCACGAGGAGAAGAACGAGCTGGAGTGCGCCCTGAAAAAGTGGGTACCCGTGTCAGTCCGCCCTCTGCACAGACACGTGCAAGCCAGGAACGCCCCTTCTGTCTTATATCCGGCGACACCGCCTTTCGGCCATCCACCCGAGCTGGGCCTGGGCATGAGCTGACACTGTGTGTATGTGTGTAAGCCCTGGCTCACGTGTACTAGGCCCTCAGCCGTGCTCCGCCCTGTGCTATCTTGTCTACACAACTCGTTCAGATATCTATCATTATCTGCATTTTACAGATGGGGAAATCGAGGCAATGGAAGGGTAAGTAATGCGCCCCCAGAATTCACAGCACGTAAGAGGCAGTGTGTATTCAGTTAAGCCAGATAGGCTGGTACCCAAGACCCATTAGATACCACCCTACCCGCCTCTGGGTAGTAAGGCCCCAGCGTTTGGGACCTCAGGCTGGGAGGAGTCCCAGCCTCACTGAGTAACAGGTCCCAGCGCCTCCTGTGTGCATGTTAGAAGCAGAACCAGGAAATCAGGAGCTCTGGGTCTGTGCCACGTGTGGCCCTCTAGCCAGCTAGCTCTGTGACCTTGCTCTGCTCTCTTGACCTCTCTGAGCTTCGGTTTTTCCCACTTGGAAAATGAGGGGCTGGATTATTTTCTGCCCCTCATCAGTCTGTCTCTGACCCCAGCCTTGATCACCCCCAAGGAGTCACAGGAAAGTCAGGTGGCGCCCCCAGAGGGGCCAATGGTTCCCTAGGGAGGCCGGGGCCCGAGTGGCTGCAGTGACCCAGCTCAGGGCTTAGAATCTTCCGCCCCTCTGTGGCCTGCACCCCCGCAGGGAGAGACGTACTTCGGAGCCTTTCAGTCCTCACATCCACCTCTAAGTGGCCTCCATTCGAGCTTTTGTCCCAGTTTAATGATGGTTATAAAGTTCGTGAGCTGAAAGTCAAAGTCACTGTCAGCTGTGTGGGAGAAGCTAGTTCAGCCAGGAGTTCTAGCCCTCTGTGTCCATATCCCGGCCAGCTACCCCTGCCCGGGTCAGCTGATGGAGTTCACTCTCGACTGGGGGGTGGGGGCGGTCACTGAACTGCCTGGCAGTCGATTTCCCAGAGGCCTGTAGCGAGCAGAGCTCTGAAACAGGGGACAGGAGCACCCCGAGCTCCCACCCGGGGAACTGCCTCCGACCAGCTGTGTGACCTCAGGCAATGTGCTTTACCTGTCTGTGCTCCTGTTTCCTTACTGGCAGCATTAGAGAACAGGATTGGTGCTGTTTAAACTTTCTGATTGAGACTCATCAGAAGACATGCACTTGACTTTGCAGCTCACACACACTTGCATGTGTGAGTAACTGAAAACAAAGTTTCATGAAACATGCTCACTCTCCTCACACAAGACGAGCTCTGAGGTTTTCTATTCTATAGCACCTGTGTACTCAGTCGCATCTGACTCTTTGTGACCCCATGGACTGTACCCCGCCAGGCTCCTCTGTCCATGGGATTTCCCAAGCAAGAATACAGGAGTGGGTTGCCATTTCCTCCTCCAGGGGATCTTCCTGACCTAGGGATTGAACTGTGCCTCTTGTGTCTCCTGCGTTGGCAGATGAGCTCTTTACCTAGGAAGCCCAGCAATAAGAAATACACAGTAGGTCCCATTGGAGTCTCTGTTCTCTTATCTTCCCTTAAAGAAAGAAAAAGCATTCATCATATCCTGCTTCTGGGTTCTGCCTGAACCAGGTGATCCCTGGAGGTCCTTGTAGCTCAAGTCAAACAAGAAACTGAAACCCCAGAAGGATCAGTTCAGTTGCTCAGTTGTGTCTGACTCTTTACAACCCCATGGACTGTAGCACGCCAGGCTTTCCTGTCCATCACCAACTCCCAGAGCTTGCTCAAACTCATGTCCATTGAGTTGGTGATGCCATCCAACCATCTCATCCTCCGTTGTCCCCTTCTTTTCCTGCCTTCAATCTTTCCCAGCATCAGGGTCTTTTCCAACGAGTCAGTTCTTCCCATCAGATGGCCAAATATTGGAGTTTCAGCTTCAGCATCAGTCCTTCCAATGAACACTCAGGACTGATTTCCTTTAGGCTTGACTGGTTTGATCTCCTTGCAGTCCAAGGGACTCTCAAGAGTCTTCTCTAACACCAGTTCAAAAACATCAATTCTTTGGCACTCAGCTTTCTTTATAGCCCAACTCTCACCTCCACATATGACTACTGGAAAGACCATAGCTCTGACTAGACAGACCTTTGTTGGCAAAGTAATGTCTCTGCTTTTTAATATGCTGTCTAGGTTGGTCATAACTTTTCTTCCAAGGATACAGAAGGATGCTGGAGAAGGAAATGGCAACCCACTCCAGTATTCTTGCCTAGAGAATCCTGTGGACAGAGGAGCCTGGTGGGCTGCTGTCCATAGGGTCGTACAGAGTCAGACATGACTGAAGTGACTTAGCAGCAGCAGCAACAGAAAGATAGAGAATAGTTAAATGGGAGGCTTTACAAATGGCTCAGGTGAGGCCGAGTGATGCTGGGACATCTAGGAGGCGAGTTTGGGCTTGTTTGAGGGAGGGACACACTCTGGCTAGTGAGAAAAGGAGGTCTGGAGAATTAAAAAAAAAAAAAATTTATTTGGCTGCCCTGGGTCTTAGTTATGGCACACAGGATCTTTAGTTATGGCATGTGTGATCTATTTCCCTGACCAGGGTTGGAACCCAGGCTCCCTGCATTGGGAGCACAGTCTTAGCCATTGGATCCCAGGAAAGTCCCCTGGGGAATAGATTGATTTGGGCTGGAGTCAGGGAAACCCTGACAACTGTCAGATCATCTCCCAGGCTCCCCCATGAGCCGACTGTTCAGTCCAGGGTCTAACTCGTCACTCTATCTGGGACATGCGCATCACACAGAGAGGGTGATGAGGCTTGACTGCTGTGTGCCACCTGGGGCTGGGCACCAGGGTACGGTCGTGGTTGACTAGTAGCTGGCATGTAAGAAATGTGGGTTTGATCCCTGGGTCGGGAAGATCCCCTGGGGGAGGAAATGGCAACCCACTCCAGTATTCTCACCTGGAGAATTCCGTGGACACAGGAGCCTGGCGGGCTACAGTCTGCGGGGTTGCAAGAGAGTCAGACGCAGCTAAAGCAACCTAGCATGCATGCACAACGGGCACTTACTCTGTGCCGGGCTGCACTGGGCAAACAGAGCACAGAGGCCCCGTCTCTGAGGAGTTTACAATCATACCCAGGAGGCAGAGCCGTAAAAATTCTGCCGCAGAGCCGACCAGAAAATCCTTGGGCTGTTGGAACACTCAACAGTGTTGCCATTGGCAGCAGCAGTAGCCTCGGCTTCCTCCTCCTTTTCTGAACCACACACCTCGGTTCTCTCTCCCATGGGGCCCAGAGAAATACAACCAACCTGGGGGAAGTTCTGGGCCCCAGCTCCCCAGGCTGGCCATGCCCCTCGTGGTTAGTTTTGCTACAGTGAGTGAGGAAGGGCCCCCGGCATCCTCCAGGGTCACCTCCAGGCTCTGGGAGGGAGGGAGGAGGATGCAGTAGGTGGGATGCTTAGAGGTGACATCTTGATGTCCGGAGACTCGAGCGTTTGAGACAGTGTCAGAAACAACGCAGGGCCTTTCCTCCCTGCTGGTGATTTCATTTTCTGATTCTGCACCTCAGGAGCAGGGGAAGGAGGCAAGTCTTAGAGCCTTCAACCTCCCCCTGCCTTGTCCCTTGGGACAGGGGTTGAGAAACCCTCAGATTTGGGCTAGAATCTGGGTTCAGTGTTTGATGCTGCTGCATGTTCACGGGCAAGCAGCCACGACCCAGTGGGGTGAGGCGGGGGCTGGTTGAATGCAGTGACCTTGGGCTAATGCCCAGCTCCTCTGCTGCGCCTCCAGAGGTGGGTGTGTGCCCTCCAGCACTTCCACTTCCCTCCGAGGAGGAGGGATGTCAAGATTGCAACCAAGCCACTTTTCTCTGCATGCACCATGCAGAGACTTGGAGAAACTTATACTTTACCTTAGGAGACATATGAGTAGTTTGATATGAGAAAAGACTTCTGTCCATCAGAATGGTGAACTCTTCCACTGTAGAAAGCATCCTGCCATTTATGGTGATTCAGAAAAAAAGCTTGGGCTCTCCAGATGTAGAACAGGGCTGCCTGGAGGCAGCGTCACCAGTAGGGATTCTGGAACCATACCCCAGGAGGACCCTGTCGGCTTGGTCTGCAGTGGGGGCTCCAAGTCTGCATGTATAAAGTCTCCTGACTTTGACCAGAGCTGCAGTCTGCCGGAGGAGTTGCCGGGTTGAGTTTCTTACCAGGATCTAACCCTGAGGATGGGGAAGAAGATGGATTAGGCTGTATCTGGGGAGTGCTTTGAGCTCTTTGAAGAGAAGTGCTTTTGAGATCAAAGGCAGCCCCAGCTCCATCCTCTGCAGCTCAGAGCGTGGAAACACTCCTATGCCACGCGCTCTGCATCCTTGGTGGACCACCCTTGGCCTTGGCGAGCTTAGCCCACGCCCTTGCTGGCATCGGTCCCTCATCTGCACAGTGTTTGCTGGTCCAGATGATTCAGGCCTTGGGCAGGTTCTCAGGAGCATGGAGGTTGGAGGGGGTGGGCTGTATTTGCAACTCCCACCCTTCCAGCCACTGTCCTGCTGCTGTCCATTTAGACTTACTTCCCTCAACCCCGAGAAGGTGTCTAGACCAGGAGGGAAGGTGTCTCACAACCTGACAGGCAGCCCAGCTGGGATACCTGGTACCTGACACAAGCCTGAGAACTGGTGTTCTGTGAGGGGGTGGGGGCAGTCACTGTGTTCCTTGACCTTGCCACCAGGTAGGGCAGGGGTCCCCAACGTCTGGGATCTAATGCCTGCTGATCTGAGGTGAGCTCATGGAATAATAATAGAAATAAAGGGCACAGTAACTGTAATGCAACTTGAATCATCCTGAAAACAAACCCCCATCACCCTGGGCAGGGGGAATTATTTTCCATGAAAATGGTCCCTTTTGCCAAAAAGCTTGGGGACCGCTGATGGCAATGAAAGCATCGTATGT